TTTCAATTTAGAATTACCAAATCGCCCTGTTAAACAAGAGAAGCGCCGAAATTATTTTAAATAATAAAAGAGTGAGAAATTAAAGTGAAAAATATTTTATTACTATTATGGAAAGTACCGTATTTTTTTATCATATCAGTCTGACTCTTTTATTTAAAGTAAATGTTTAATGTGGCCACCATTCATTTCAATACAGACACCTGCTCTTCTCCTCCAGGATCTGCGTACCCTATCGAAAATCCTTGGCGTTGTACGAATTTGATTGGAGCAGTCAATTATCTGTTGTCGTAGTTTCTCTTCAGTATTAATCGGCACTGAGTAAACCAAAGCTTTTAAGTTTTAAGTTTACCAAAAAATGAAGGTAATTTTGTCCATTAAGCCTAAAAGAATAATAATAATTAGGAATTGGTGACGTTTGAACAGTTTTAAAATTTACCTATTGGGTAGAAAGAATGGTCCAATAAGTCTATCTCCAAGAATTCCCGCCCAAACGTTTACTCAGAATCGAACTTGGTGTCGGCTTTCTATGACAGCATGAGGATTTTGATCGGACCAGTAATGGGTGTTGTAGTAATTAACAATCCCATTTTTGGTAAATCCTGCTTCATCAGTGCATAAAATGTTTGACAGAAAAAAGGGATCTTCTACCAGTTTTCTTAATAACCAACGACAGAAATTGGCACGAGCGGGATAGTCTGGAGGATTAAGGGCTTGTACCCTTTGGATGTGGTATGGATACAGCAGTTGAATATGAAGAGTCATCCACACAGTATGGCGACTCACGTTTTCTCGCGCTGCAATTCTCCATACAGATAACCCTGGATCTTCCTCTACACTTCTTAAAATTCGCTCTTCAATTGCTGGTGTACGCACTGTAACATTACGGCCGCGATCATGGTGCCTGTTACTAAATGAACCTTCGTCTCTCAAGCGCTGATGGACTCTGGCAAATATCCTATGAGAGGGTGCTCTGCGATTTGGATATTTTTGAATATACAAACGTTTAGCTAAAACACGCTAAAAGACCGTTTCCGTTCGCTCTTCCATAAATAAAATGCATATCTGTCAGTTCAAGTACAGTGTATTCCATAATAATAATAATAAACGTCTTTATTATACCAGCAAAACAACATTTACAAAGTATAAATGGCGTAGTCTAGCCAAATGGCCATTGAACTTAACCATATCACAAATCCTAAAACTAACTTAAACCTAACCTACTCTACATTACGCTGAATGTCTACGGATGAATTCAAATTTAAATTAAGAACAAGAATTAAATAAAACAAATAAAATAAAATAGAATATGAATTAAATATTTTCATTTGCTTGGCTACCAAGAAAATATGATTTTAACATTATTTTAAATGAACTAGTACTCAAATATGATTTTAAGTGTGTATTTAGTGAATTGTATACTTTAGCGACATTATAGCTAAATGACCGTTGAAACATGGCAGTTCTATGTCGTGGCATGGCGATAGTATGGCGATTTCGCAAATTTAAGGCATGTGCGTCAATCCTATACGTAATCCGTTCTCTTAAATATAATGGTGAATTAGCTTTTAATAAATTGCTTAAAACTAATAAGAAAAGAAATTTGAACAAAGAATTTATTTTCAACCATTTTAATGAAATAATGTAAGGTGATATGTGGTTATATTTTCTTTTGTTACAAACAAGCCGACAACACGAATTTTGTATTTTTTGTAAACGGTTTGCAGTAGCCCTGTCGAGACAAGGATAGTATACAGAGATGCAGTATGTTATTTTAGAGATTACCAAGCTTTCACATAGGGTTTTTTTTCATGTTAAATGTTAAATATTGTTTACTTGCATATAAGAGTCTTAGACGAAAATAACAATTTTTTGACACTTGAGAAACATGTTCAACAAATTTTAAATTTTCATCTAAATACAAACCCAAATTCTTTTCACAAGGAGAAAATTTTATTTGTTCACCATTTACCCTAATCTGCATGTCCGATTTAAGCATATTCTTATATATTTTTGGAGAAAACAACAAAGATTTTGATTTTTTAGCATTTAATTTAAAACCATGCCCTTTCACATATTCGCTTATTTTATGCAAATCTTGATTTATGCGGACATTAGCTATTTCATATTCGGAAGGATTAAAATGAAAATATAATTGAGTGTCGTCTGCAAATAACTGTTTTTTGCAAAATTGTAAATATTTAGTCATATCAAACGTGTATAATAGGAAGAGAAGGGGTCCTAGCACAGAGCCCTGTGGGACGCCAGAGCAAATAGATTTTAATTTAGAACATTTACCACCAATAACGACTCTCTGTTTTCGGTCTGTAAGGTAGCATTTGAAGAAATTAAGAGCCATATTATCAAATCCAAGATATTTGCATTTAGATATAAGAAGTTTGTGATTAATCGTATCAAAAGCTTTACTAAAATCTAAAAGAACTAATACAGTTGACATATTTTTATCAAATGAACCGATAATGTCATCACAAACTCTGGTTAGGGCTGTTACTGTACTATGACCACTTCTGAATCCGGATTGATCACCAACTATCAATTTGGAACTGTTTACGTAATCATTTAACTGAAGATAGACAACTTTTTCTAATATTTTTGAAAGTATACATAATAAGCTGATAGGACGTAGATCATTGCATGATTCAGGATTGGATACTTTAGAAAGTGACGACACTAAAGCTTCTTTCCAAGAATTAGGAAAGAATCCTATCTCAAGACAACAGTTAATAGTATGAGTGATGTAGTCACCTATAACTGGAAAACATAGTTTAAGCATTTGTAAAGTAATACCATCTGCTCCTTTAGCATTGCTTTTGATTTTTTGAATTATTTTTAAAATGGTTGATGTATCTGTCATTCTAAAAGAAAAAGTGTTTCCTGAATTATGTTTGTTATGTTGATAATATTGATAATATTGCTTGAGCATGCAGTTTCGTCATTTTGAAAAACTGATATAAAATGACTATTTATATCATCGGGATCAGACAAATGTGTTGGAATGTTGGAAGGTTTAGTATATTGTATTTTGAAATTTTTTAAAGCTTTATAAAAGGTAGATGTATTTTTTTGCTTTGACAGAGAATGCAAATATGCAGCTTTTTCTCTGCGTAGCGAAGCTTTTGCATAGTTTCTTAATTCTCTATAATGTTCCCAATTCTCAACTGTTTTTAGTCTAATAATTTTTGGTATATTACGCTCACGTACACTTCAACAACAAGAAACTGACAGAAATACTTAAAAACGAGAATAATTTTAGGCAAAATTATTTACAATTTCTTTTTGCTAAATTAAAATAAAAAAATTGTGATAAGGCCATGTACATAGCTATTGTTCTGTCCTAATTTGATTATTCTATTTACAAAAAGTATTCATTGACAGTGGCGTGCCAACAATATTTCTTCTGGGGTTTGGGTTGCCACTTACCTTCCGATTGTAAAGTTGAGAGAAAAAAATTGACCCACAGACAAAAAATAAATTTTCATAATAAAATTTCTTCGATATTACTTGAAAATATTTTTTTTCTTTATGAGTTTTTTGGGAGGTTGATTAGTTTAACACGTCACAATTTTCATAAATTAATGTTTATTAATCTGTGAGATACCCATCAAAAAATAAGTAATTTTACTTTTCGTTTTTCAACTACAGGTTTACCAAACTCTTTGCCTTCAATTTTCTCGAAAACTGTTGCTTTAAGCGACTTGCAATAAGAGTAACTTTTTTATGAAAAAAAGGTAGTTGTTTTTAAAAAATAGACTCACGTTGTAAAAAAAACAACCCCTAAAAAGTTAATCATAAATCGACCCCTTACCCTTGCAAGAACTACCCTTTCTGATTAAATAAGTAATTTTTCGATATTGCCATTGGATTCAGCAGTAAATTTTATGTCAACAGGGATTTTTTTCGAAGTTTTATCGTGTTTTTTAAGCTTACAATTCCAAAAAAAACACTTTCCTAGTTTGCCCTTTTGACGCCCCTAAATCCCTTAATATGTATTTAACGACCCATAGTTATAGAAACTTTTTTTACTAGTTTTAGGAGTACTATCACCTCCCGAATTTTTTTACACTATTTCAATGACACCCTGTATAGCTTGCTTGACCCTTCTCGAACTGTCGTCTAGAATATTCTTGACGAGTAATGACATTTCCAGACATTTCTGGACAATTTTATCTTCTTTTACATGTACTTTTACTTATGACGACCGCAGCACCCTGTAGGGCGATGAGTAACATTCCACTTCTTTTTCTATGTGTACGTTTCCTATAATAGCCGCAGGCTACTGCAGGGTGCTGCGTAACAATATTATTGTGTATAATTTCTAATTTAGTCATTATGCATTCATTATTAGTTGTAATTAATTAAAATATTCCAAATTACTATTATGATTTTATTATTTGTATAGAGCCGTGAAAAAATATTGTTTGCAAGATATTATGCATACAGTGTCTTTTTTCACTCATGGAATTGCCGCACTTGCCTCACGGCACCACTTTATGTACTTGCTGCATAAATTACTATTTTTTACTGGATAATTACAGCGCATCCGATAGTCCCAATAGTAAAATTATGTTTATAGCGTCGTGCGACCGTACCTGAGACCGACCCTGTTTTTTGTTGACCTTTACCGCTGCCGCTACATCTAACGCTGGCAAAGGAGAATCGACTAGAAACTAGAATGTTTCTTTGTTCGCAGCCAGACGCGTGGAGGAAGGATTTCACGAACGCATCGAGATTATTCTAGTCAGAATTGGATTATTTGTATACAAGTGAATTCTTTTGCCGTACGAAGTTAAGTGATAAAATAAATCTTGTCGAGTAAAGGTAAATAAATTAGAAGTGTGAATTATAATAATGCTTAAGTATAAATTAATATAAACTATTTTTAAAATAAACAATCGCATATAAATTTGGATTCAATTGTTGTAATTACGTATTAATTAACTGTAAAGGTCGGAAATAATGTTTTAGAATATTTTAAAACTTACGTAGTGCAATATGAGCTCCTTCGTCAGGTGGGTAATTTCTTTTAACAGAATTTATCACGGGAATCGCTATGGATCGAAGACCCATTTCTTTGGCCTTCTGGAGAACGTTTCTAAAAAGTAATCAAACATTAATATATACCATTTCGGGTTTAACATTGTGTGAAATAAATAATGATATGGAGATTCCTCAAGGTAGCGTATTGGGTCCTCTTCTTTTTATTTCATACTTGAATGATATTGAACTTTCGGTTGATTATAAATTTAATAATATTTTTGCTGACAATATTATAATAGCCTGTAGTGATGCGAATTTTGATAAGGCCATAGAGAAAATGAATGCTTCTATATCATCTAGGAATAAGTACTTGAATGAAATAAATTAAAATTAAATGTAAGAAAAACAAAAGCAATGGTTTTTACAACGCAATTTAAATAGTTTTATAGATGTTAAAAACATAAATTTGAACATTAATAATGAACACATCGAAGATGATTCTAATATCAAATACTTACAAATTTATCAACTGAGACCAAAATCCCTGTATACAATTCAATAATCAAGTATTTTATAATTATTAAATTTAAATAAATTGAACATGCTTCAAATAGGTACTTCTTAATCGTGGAATGAGAATAATAATTACTCTCAATTGGTAACCAGTAGAAAAATAATGTACTATTTATTATACAATGATTTTAGTATGTATTTAAAATATAATGGCACTATAATACTTTCAGCAATATTACGTTCAACAATATCTATACTTAGTAAACAAGAGGTACAAATAACATCAACATTGCAAGAACTATATATCAAAGTATGATAAATTCTTTATTCTTTAAATAGCCTAAGAGCCCACTGCAAATTTTGGCCGTCATCTGATAACAAAATGAAATATACCCCGATTGTAATTTTCAGGGCAATCATGTCTTGTGATATGTTTTGAATATGAAATAAATTATTTTAATCTCTTTGCTCAGGATAGTGATTGGCACAGGTGCCGTTTGGTAAAGTACAATCTCGTTACATGTCTTTGGAGCATATTTCATTTCTTTATCAGATGACGGCCGAAATTTGCAGTGAGGTTCCTACGAGTACTAAAAGGTTTCAAAACATTCAATGAACTTCCTTTATCTGGACATTGAATCAAGTGTTTTAAAATGAAAACTTGAGGAGTTTATTAAAAATACACAATATAATGAAGATTTTATAAACTAATAAATAAATTTCTGTGTGATATTGTTTTCTATCTGGGATTTAAAATGTACAGGGTAAATCATAAGTTGACAAATTTTTTTTAACTGTGTATAGAAGTCCCACAAAGTTAGTTGTCACTACCAAAAGAAACAGCCTACAAAAATATCTTAATAATAAATGATAAAAAAAATTAAGGATTGCAAGAGTTTAGTGCAAAAATATGTCTCAGCCGCTTATCAGGCATATTATAAAACTGTTTTTGGAGATTTGCCCACAGAAGATCAACCTGAAGATGACCAACCCGAAATGTCTAATGAAAATGATGGCTATGTAACTGATTCTTCCTTAATTAAAAAAAAAAAAAAAAAAATGGTTGTTTTTACAAATAATAAATATTTTTATCAAATAATTTTCGTTTTTTAATTGTTTGATGCAAAAAACAGACAAGTCCAAATTTTCTAATTTTTTTCAAAAATGTTACTTGTTTTTCTTGTTAATCTAACGCATTTAGTCTGTTTTACATAAAATTAATCAATTCATTTGTTTATGTAGACTATTTCCGAATAAATTTTTTTTTCATTTCCCCAACATTTAAGAAAAATGGACTTGTCTGGTTCTTGCACCAAGGTCTTCAATTGCTAATACCACAACATCGATTAACTCTATCTGTAACGCCTGTAACGTGTGAAGGGTGGGCTAACCCACGGCACCCAGGCCTCAATAGGCCCCTTGTGCACCCTCCTAAGTAGATAGGCACCTCCTAGCTGGTAAGCCAGATTTAATGTAGTTGATAACGTCGCCGAGAGGTGCTTCTCTTATATCGGATGGTGTTAGCCTCTGCAGAGTGCGGATTCTGACAGCTCCATAATATGGAGATGCTTTCGTACTTGGCAATGACCAGTCAGAATGCCTATGACTAGGCGCAGATTCTGTCTAATCATAGTCAAGTATTTGTTTGCTGCAGTGTTGTCAGGATAACTTAAGAGCTCCCTGGCAACTCTGCAGTTTCTTGTTTCATCCGGTCTTTCCTTGAATTTCACAAGGGAATGTTCTTTGATTAGATCTGTCACTACCGATTTTGTAAGGCCAATAGAAGGGCCATGTTCAAAAAGTATTTGGTTGGCTGTTTTTTTCACTAGTGAATCAGCAAGACAGTTACCTTTCGATGTGGCGTGACCTTTGATCCATATTAAGGTGATCACATTGTTGATGGATACTTCGGCCAAAGCTTCGTGCCATTCTAGTACTAACCCTGAGCATACGGGATATTAGAATTAGACCATCAATATGCAAATATATTAAACTATATAATAAGCCTTCTGTTAAGGAAAGTAAATTCAAAAATCAAGTCAATGATTTATTACTTGATCTCACAGTATATTCAAACAAGGAATGTTATGATGCCGATTTGAGTGCCTTTACAGCATACATTTAAGAAAAAGTGTTTACTACAACGTGAAGTTCTAAATTTTTAACTAAAAAGTCTAATTTGATGTAATCAATTTTCTTTTTTTGTCTGTAATAATTTTTAACAAAAATGTCTAATTTGATGTAATCAATTTTCTTTTTTGTCTGTAATAATTTTTAACTAAAATGTCTAACTTTTTTTTTAATGTAAAATATAGGTATATTTTTTACGATTTTTGAGTATGTTGGCGACGCTAAAGACTGTTTTTGTTTATTTAAGCAAATAAATAAAGTATATTATTCTAGAAGAAAAATTTTTATTTAATAATACTGTCGGGAACTTACTATTACATAAGTGCGCGGGTGATTGCATATTAGGTAGGATAAATCAAAGAAAAGTGTGGACAACTGCGGGAAAATCAATTGTATCCCTTTCACGTTAACTTGAACATTTCCCTCGCATAGTTAATTTTTGAGGAGGAGTTTAATCAACATTTTTTGACGAAAGTTATACAGGACCGTATTGGATGTATTTTGGAATTAATTATACTTAGTAAGTTTTTTATTTTTAAGTTTTTTGAAAAAGTTATTTAAAAACAGTTAAAAAAAGTATCAACTTAGGATTCACCTTGTTTTACTACTCGATTCCTAATTAAATAAAAATATATCTATCTATCAATAAAACTGTTTTTAATTAATAGGATGAAAAATAATAAAAAATATGTTTACGAATGGGCAGCATAGGTACTATGAATTCCATAGAATGACATCTACCTATTGTTTTTAATACTTGTTAGTCATTTTAAGCTTGTTTCTGATATTTTTGTATACTTATATTTCATGTTAGAACAATATATAAACGCTGTATTTTCCCTTTCTACAAATGGAAAAACTGTAGAGTCGTATATGTTAAATAAATAAAAGTTTGAAATGAAATGCGAAAAATTCGAAGTCCTTCGAGTTTTTCTCATTTCCTATATTATTTTTAAATTGGTCACATTTGAGTATTTGAATTTATTTCCATTGAATAAAACTCCATAAATAGAACGAACAGTATTTTTGTATGAAATGAAACAGCAGACAATGGAAGGTTTAATTCATAGATACAAAGCATTAGGTAGGTCACACAAAAAGTTTTGTTTACTTTTTAATTTCTGATAAGATTCAGTGCAAGAAAAGATGATAAATTGTACAAATATGTATTATTTTATAATTTTTGATTTGAAACATAAACATTTCACATCATGTATTGGTTTATAAGTGTTCGATGTATTTTTGGATGCCCTTGTATATGATAAACATATATCTATAATATAAAGGGTTTTCCTAAACAGCATGTACATACGAAAGAAGGTAATTCTTTAGCTTATTTCATGAATAATAATAATAATAATAATAATAATAATAATAATAATAATAATAATATTCTCCCTAATTCACCCCCTTACGAGTGAATTTCAACCCCTGAAGTCGACTGAACGACTTGTGTAGGGGAAGGGACGGCTATTTTTATTATTTGCCGTGGCGCTCCGGGGCGACTTAAAGATGATTGATGGTGCCATTTGACTTAAAGGTGAGGAAAACCCGGAAAACCTCACAATGAAAATTCATATCAACATAGTTCCGCAAACGCTTCGTTACCAATCTACAGGGTTGAAATTTCAAGATTTTTGTTAGTTTTTTCTTATTAATTTATAAACACATGCAGACGCAAGTTATGTAATAGTATTTAAATTCCAAATATTATCCATATCTCAAAGTGGTCCGAAGTAGACACCAAAGTCAAATTGTTTAAATTTATATTATAAAATTTGTCACAAAACTAATTTAACATATTCAATTTAACTAATGTCAAATTTAATTATTATTAGCTCAACCATCATTGTAACTACGTGTCTTCCATCATGTCAGTTGTCAAATGTCGTAAATCTCCACCATTTTCTCATTTAACTTCACCGTTGGATGACGAAAGTGTCATAAGTGAATTTTTCTAAAAAAGTTAATATTTAATGACACCCCTTACGCTTAAGGGTGTACACGAGCGGGACTCCGTCTACCCCTTTCGTACTGGGGATAGGGGGAGTAGCTGTATTTCACATTTCCCAAAAGTAACACTTTCCACATGGTGCCTTAAGCACACATGTGGAACTTCAAAATTTATCTCATTCGAAACTACCTTCATCAGATGGAGGCAGGCGAAATTCAAACTAGAACTGGATCCAACCTCGAATGAGGGCGACAGTCTGTGCCATTTTTTACAATTTACTTAAATTTTATATTTTAATTCAACATATTTATTTTTCTGTGGACACATAGTGGTAAGACACCTAGCATTTCTATAAAAAACGTTTTGTTATACCTTAAATTATTATTGCAGATTGTACCTACTCACAAAAAATTTTTTGTCTGATGATGACCTTTTAGGTCGAAAGGCTTGCAACCTAATAAATTTATGTGGTCGACAGACTTTGAGCTTTTTACTTCCCTTTAATAGTATTTATTTGTTAATATAGACCACATACAAGTAATACATAGTACTTTTAAAATACAGACGTATACTTAATACACATAAATTTAGTTTTGGAGTGAAATAAATTTAAAAAATAAAATTTGTTATAAAAGTAAGAAATCTTAATACAAATACAATTTACATAATTAAAATAAAATAAACATAAAAAAAATATAAAAATAAAATTGAGATAGAGAGGTACTTGTTTTAATAATTGCAGTAAGCATATCATTAAATTCACGCAATCCATCTATAAAAACTAACCCATAGAATTTATGGGTTAAAATTAACCTATATACCGAGAAAAAAATGTTTTGCTCAATTTTAAAAGGTGTTGGTGAGCATTCAAATTTTCCCATTCAAATAACATGTAAAAAATCTTTTTTCATTACAAATGCCATAACTTTTGAACCGTTTAGGACAAAATTTTTTACGTCGCGGATTTTTGTAGGCATTAAATTTCCTAAAAAATCTATCCCATTATTATTCAGTTTTAGTGTTTTTTGACTAAAAATTTGTATTTAAATAATATAAAATAGTTAAAAAATATCGTTAATAATCTAGATTTGTTAAAAAAGTTCTTATATTCATTAATTTTTTAATGCAAATTTAACAAAATATTTTTGTATTAAAAAAACTTCAGGATTGCCTTATTTTTGAATAATTTTTCTCACCATTGTTAACGTTATTTATTACAAAAATTAAAATTTTTTAACATTCAAATGATTTCAAGACATCACATTCACTTAACAGCTGTCAGTAAATAGTATAATCAGTTGTTTTTGTAGTTTTTTCATAATGTGTAGCTTCTCGGGAGAGTCGATAGTGGCTCCCTCTTGAGGCGTTCCCGTCAAATATTCATGAAGTTTTTGTTTCATCTGACAAGCATCTTATTTACGAAGTTCTTTTGTTTTTATTACTGAATTTTGATGTATCATTGAATTTTAATGGACGATATTGTATATCTTTTTAATTAATAACTACAAAATATTATCTGTTTATAACCTCTCTGTTCTAATATAACAAACCTGTCACTTAGTTTTCCAAATATTGAAAATAAGTAAGAAACAAAAGTGCAATTAACTTATTACAAATTATGACTGCTAGAAATTCAATATTTTTAGTTGGTTTTGAAACTAGTAAAATCAGTGAGCGTAAACTTCCAACAAAACGACAAATCTTAAGTATATTCTTTTATAAACATAAGTCCCTTGACCTAACTATTCGGAATAGTGCTACAGAAGTCGCCAAGGACGTAATAAAAATATGGAGTGATTTTAATCTTCCTACAATTAAATTATTTTATGTTGTGGGCAAAATTGAATGTTTATTCCGGGAACGGAAAAATCTTTTGAAATCCCTAAAAAATAAAAAACTATTACATACAAAAAAAAAAAACAAAGAGAGTTTACTCAAAAATTAGATAAGTTGTTTAATATTTCTAAGAAATCATCAGAACAATTCTTAACTGATGAACAAAAAGCTTTGTTAAACGAAGATACACGACTTCGACGTTCAACTGCTAAGTCTGCATTAAGTGAAACACCAATTCCAGAGCTGGAATTACCAAGTAAGTTGTTTCTTTCAAAGATTATAATACTTTTTCTTGTATAAATATTAATTATACTTTCTTAATTCATTCAAATTTTCAGGTACGAGTCAAAGTACTTCTTTTCATTCTTCACCTGAACAATCTGTTTCATCATTTTCTAATGATTTAAAACGATTCGCTTCAGATTTAGAAGATCCCTATCCTGAAAATCATAAAAAACCAAAGAAAATCGACGTTATAAATCCTGCAGTAGTGAGTGCTCTCGATCGAACTAATACTAGCAGCAGAAGCGCATTAAATATTCTCGCTGCCTTCTCATTAGGAGTGCCTGTTGAAGATACTAATTTAAGCTACACCACCATTCGAAGGCGTCGTTTAGAAGCTACAAAAGATATTGTAGATGATTTGAAAGACAAAATCCAATTTTCAAACAATGTTTTCCTTCATTGGGATACGAAATTTCTTGTTGACGTTTGTGGATATGATAAAGTTTATAGGCTTGCAGTTGTATTTGGCTCAAATTTCGAACAGTTAGTGAACATATCAAAAATCGAAAGCGGGACAGGAGAGCAACAAAGTTTCACTGTTTTTTTGTTTTAATATATTATGTTTATTAATATAGGACCGCACATTGGTGCATGTGCGACATTGGAACGTATACTTGAAAAAAAAAAATGTCTTTATTTTGCTTGCCGACGTCATGTTTATGAATTAGTTCTTCAGAAAGCACGCCAAACTTGTTTACCTGCAACGTCAGGTCCAAATGTTTCTACGTTTAAACGATATCGGCAAACTTGGAAAATGAAATCATACGGGATAAAGTCATGGACGAAAGAGATAAGGTATTGCCATTTATTTCCAAACAACTCAATGTATGAACTATTTTTGATTATTTAATCAGTTCCAGTCAATTCGAGCTTTCAACTGTTTAAGTACTTAAAAACATGATTAATTGAACTTTTTCAGGAACACCACCCTCGAAATGATTATAAAGAATTCTTGAAACTAGTATATATTTTTTTAAATGGTACGCAAACTTATTCTATCACATTTAAAGCTCCTGGAGCAACTCATCATGCGAGATGGATGTCCAAGACCATCTATTGCCTCAAAATGTACATGGTTCCAAAATCAATTTAATGTTGGTAGTAAAAAAGATTTACTTAGATTAGGTGACGTTTGTAGTTTTATAAGTATTGTTTATGTGAAAGCATTGTTTGAAGCTACTAGTCCGATAAAGGCTCCAGTTCAAGACTTAAATTTTCTGAAAAATTTAATTAACTGTAAAAATACCAATGAAAAGATTTCAAATGCTACTGTATTAACATTTTCGCGACACTTATGGTACCTCATAAAAAGACTTGCAACAATGTCATTTTTTGATTCTAGTATAAGCTTGGAAATGAAAAAGAAAATGATTAATGCTACGAAAAAAGACGGGAACAAAGTTGATGAAAACAAAATTACATTAACTTAAACACAACTTGACATGATTTGCTCGAAAGATATCAGTGATTTTATCACAAAAAGATCGTTAGAATTTTTTGAGCGACTGGAGTTATCATCGGACTTTTTAAATATTGAGCCGGAACATTGGGCAGAACATGATTCATACAAATCATGTTCCGATATTGTTAAAAACATCAGAGTTTATGCTATTGCTGAACGAGCTATTGCATTGATACAGAAATACAATCGAACTCTAACAAAAAATGAGGAACAAAATAAAATTAATCTTACAAGTAGTACATTACATCGTCAGCAATATCCTAATTGTAATAAATTAAATTTCATTAAATTATTTGTCAACAAGAGTGTATAAATGATTTCAATTGCAATAAAAAATAAATTATTAAACACAATAGGTTTTCTTTTGACAAACCTAGATTATTAACGATATTTTTCAACTATTTTATATTATTTAAATCCAAATTTTTGTTAAATATAAACATTTTTAGTTAAAAAACACTAAAACTGAATATTTCGATTTTTTCACTTTTTAAAGCTTTCAAATATACGAATTTTTGAATTGAAAAAAATAATCCTGGGATAATTTTTAGGAAATTTTATGCTTTACAAGAATCCGTGACGTAAAATTTTTTATCCTAAACGGTTCAAAAGTTATGGTATTTTTAATAAAAAAAAAAATCTTTTTACATGTTATTTGAATGGGAAATTTTGAATGCTCACCGATACCTTTTAAAATTAAGCAAAAAATCCTGCCTTGCAGGGATATTTTTTTCTCGGTATATAGGTTCATTTTAACCCATAAATTCGATAGGTTAGTTTTTTTGGCTCACCTTATAGATGTTACCGGACAAACCCGATTTTAGGATAAACTAGTTTTTCCTAGGCCAAATCAGTTTATCCGAAGAGCCATAGGATGAACTAGTTTATCCTAGTCTAAACTGGTTTGTTCTGAAAAAAATTAATTATGATTAGGAAAACTGATTTGTCCTAGTGTAAACTACTTCGGACCGCGATTCAACTAGTCTGAACTTGTTAGATGGTAGCTGCTGCTCGGCTTTGGCTTGCCGTTGCCGACTTAGTTTGCACGCGTACATTGACTGTTATGGAGCGTTCGTCTTATTGCAAAATCTGTGCGTATTGTGCGTGTGCGTGTTGTCCATAAGCTAAACGTTTTGAAACATTTTGTGTTGTTTATGGATCTAAAGTTCGGAGTGTATTTCTGTATATCGTTATCATGGATGAGACTTCATCAAGTGGGCACGTAGGTCAAAAAGAGTGGAGACGGATATTCTTGGCAGAGCTTTTGAGATCTGAGGACGAGAAATCGACTTATTTTAATGTTTTGACAAAGGAAAAGTATTTGGCACTTATGCAACAAGTGGAAGAGGCTAAAAAACGGAAAAGAAATCACCCTTGCAACAAAGAAGACTGAAAAGATTTGATGTAGTGGAAATCGGAGGTGTAAAGAAACTTACCGCACGAAATGAAGAAAATACAAATAATATAAAGTATTATCTCACCGCTGATGAGTTATATGACGTTATTGACGCAGCTCACATAGCAGTAGGACATGGTGGTCGTGACAGAATGTTGGCTGAAACTCTAAAAAGTTTGCGAATATCACAAAAGAATTGATGTCTTTTTTTATCCATGTGCGTGGTGTGTCAACAAAAAAAGACGAAAAAAAAAAAGAAAGGATTAGTCTCCAAACCGATTGTGCACTCCGAAATGAATAGCCGATGCCAAGTCGATCTTATTGACTTCCAGACACAGCCAGATGGAAAATCAAAATTTATACTGGTGTATCAGGACCACCTAACAAAATTTGTTCTGCTTCGAAGAGAGCCGAAGAGGTAGCCTACCATTTAAAGGATATATTTTTAACTTTCGGGGCCCCATGCATTTTACAATCTGACAATGGCCAAGAATTTGTGAATCGTGTAATTTTAGAAGTTACAAGCTTGTGGCCAGAGCTCAAAATCGTGCATGGAAAACTACGACATAGTCAAAGTCAGGGATCAGTCGAAAGAGCGAATCATAATATTGAAAACATGCTGAGTGCTTGGATGAATGACAACCAGACAACTAAATGCTCAGAAGGGCTGAGATACATACAGTTTATGAAAAATTGGGCATTTCATTCTGGAATTAAACAATCGCCTTATAAGGCAATGTTTGGTGCGGCACCTAGGGTTGGCCTCTCTACTACTTTATTGCCTTCGGAACTGCTGAAGGACATTGAAGACGAGGACGATCTTCGAAAACTGTTTAATGGGAAAAACATAGATGGACATGAAAATGATAATGGTGAAGACGAAGATAGGATTGGAGACAAAGATAGGAGTGGAGACGAAGATGCGAATAAAGACGAAGATACGAATAAAGACGAAGATAGGAGTGGAGACGATGACATGGATGAAACCTCGCAAAATATTTTAGCAGCACGTTCAAAGGCTGCGCAGAGCCTCGAAAAACAAGCCAAAAAGATGAAATCAACCTCTCACAAGTCGCATCCACCAGCGAAGGTTGGAGATAACATCATCATACCCACTCCTGATGTAGACAGGGCTAAAGGAGATCTTCGGAACGTTATTGGAGTTGTGCTTGAAGCATCTGATGATGGATTTTATAAGATTGGTACCAAGCATGTTATCTTACAAAAATTATATTGCAGGTAATCATTTACTTTGTTGCGGTTTTTATTTTACTTTAATTTAATATATTTTTTTCAGAAATGAATTTGATATCTGCGCACAAAAGTTTTTATTTGAAGAAGAAGTAAACAAAAACATTGAACTTTCGTTAAGAACCGCAGCGATCAAACATTCAGTTGGAACAGGCCAAGGTTTCTTTAAGTGTAGTTGCACCAAGAAGTGTACGTCGAACCGATGCCTTTGCAAGAAAAATAACGTTCTCTGCAACTCGAAATGCCATAATAGTTTGACATGTAATAACAAGTAAATAATACCCAAAAATTAATAAACATGTTTGTAATGATAGTATTTTATTTAAATAGTAGTAAAAACGTTACTTCTGTGAAAAGACTGTATGTAGACTAGTTTTGCCGGATCACAATTAGTTGATTTTAGGACGAATCAGTTTAGACTAGGATAAACTAGTTCATCCTATGGCTCTTCGGATAAACTGATTTGGCCTAGGAAAAACTAGTTTATCCTAAAATCGGGTTTGTCCGGTAACATAGATATTATTAACAGATCGTGTATCCAATTATGTATTTCATTATTATAGATGATAAAATAACTGAAGTGTTCAGGTTTTTTTATTTTTGCCTTTGTAAATAAGCATCATTGCTAAATAATAAAATCTCAATTTTAGAAGCATGAAAATAAAAAATCCCTAATGTCCCTACAAAATTATTATCCTCATATCCCCAAAGTGAAAACAAACCAAAGCAAAATTAGTGCATCGGCCAGAAGTCGAACATTGAAACATCGGATTTTATCCATTATAGTATATTACATAACAAGGCTTACAACTCGTGTAACGTACTATACTTTTTCTACGCCCACTTATTTTCTTCTATTAAACAAAGGACATTATGATTGTGTCGCTAATCCATAAATGTTCGATAAGTAATTTCGTACCTTTCTTTAGATTTTAGCGGTAACAAATTATGTGCGACATGTTGAGCTTTTTCTAAAATCTCCGGTGGAATGCTTATAATTTCATCACTTTCACTACTAACAGACATATTCGTAGGTAAAGTTGAGAAAATGTTCGAATACAATAATATTTTGTTACAAAAGTTGACAATATAAATGTCAAGACGTTTACTTCCATAGCATGTTAAGAAAACGCGACTTAGTTTTTTAAAATTGTATATTGTGTTGCCGACATTTAGGGGCATCACTTTTTTAATCCAAAATGTATCTCGTTAATGCTAAACGTTGTTATGTTTTTAAATTGACTAAATTTATGTAAACAAACCAAATAAAGTATTACGTAGATAAAAATTTGATTGCAATTTGATTAAACTAAGAAATTTAAGTTTTCTTATCAAAACGCACGTGTATGTTATGAGATCTCATTACGTGCATGTTATTGTTAAATGTCATTTACAAGGAATGTTGACAGTGCGATTTTTAACGTTTACTGACATGGGCGTAGAAAAATACTCTTACCAATTGAGCTACCAAGGCACGTAAGCTTTGATATGTGAATTCGTCAATTTGAAGTCATACAAATTCTCATCCCATCTCAACTCCTTCAAAGCCGATAATCTAAGATAAGAAAATACAATTAAACAACATATTTTCACGTTTAAAGCGTACCGTACTCGAAAACTTAAAATTGGTGAATGATTTTACAATTTTTTTTAAGCATAATCAAATAGATTATCGTCCTTCTACATGATGTCATAGGGATTGCTTTAAGGAGAGTTGAAGGAGCTGATATATAAGAATTTATGTGCACCAACGAGTTTGGAACCTGATTGACTTCAAATCTACGAATTCCGATATCACAGCATACGTGTCTTGGTAGCTCAATTGGTAAGAGTATGGACGGCTAAAAGTCCGGGGTTCCAGGTTCGACTCCTGTTCAATACACTCATTTTTTTTTTAATTCTCAGCTTTTTCAATTTTTCTTTGGTTTGTTTTCACTTTGGGGATATGAGTATATAATTTTCATAATTTCTTAAGGGGAATTCAGGAGTTTTCATTTTCATAATTCTAAAATTGCATTTCAGATTTCGGATCTAAACTTCACTTTTATTTCATTATAAAATCTTGTTCGACTGAAATCCAATTTAGAGTCGTTAAAATAGCATTTATGGGTGTGAATCTGTTACTACGTTGGATTATTCTCATTCCACTATTTTACAATTGTTCTGGTTATTGTAAAATTTGTAAATAGTTATTATCCAAATAAATGAGTGAAGAACCGCAGTAGTCAAAATGTGGTTGTATAATAGTTTTATAAACTGTTAATCTGGAAAAGAATGAGATATCTAAAGCAATTCTTGCCAAGACAAATAGCTAATTTGATAACTTCAAATGAGTACTGTCAATATAAATTAAAACAAGAAATTGTCCACAATTGGAACATTTTAAAAATGTTACTTTCATTTAGCAAATTACTGATAATTTTTTTTTATTTTTTTCTCTATAACGGTCAAAGATAAAAAAAATAACAAGAGACCAAATAGTTTGGAAACAAAACAGAAAATGTATTAAGCTATTGCATAGCTTTTATCGCGAGCTGTGAGTGGCGACCGAATCAAGAAATTTCGTAACACCGTAACGAAAAAAACGTAACACCCCCCACTCCGACCGGCACAGCGGTACGGCGTTATAGCCATGGAAGTTTTTATCCGACCCTATTCGTATTATTATGAAGCGGAGTTAAATATACGTCTGCGGACTGGAACATTTATGCAATACAAGAACTAGAAGAGCTTCTAATAAACTGGTATCACAAATGTTCCCGGCTGGCGTAAATATTAGATATTAATTTTTAAGCAATTGCTTAGCTTTTATCGCGGCGATCGAATCAAGCAATTCCGCGAAAATAAACCATTGTCTGCATTGTCTAACGTCGTTTCAGTTCGGCAGACTTCGGCACGGTGTTTGTGTGCGTGCGACTAGACGTATGCGTGTAGAATAGCTGCTAACTGCTCATAACTGATTCTATCTCTTTTAGACCCAATGCTAGGTGAGACAGCGTGCTTTTGGCCGCATCCACGAGTGAGTTTGAGCCCACTAGAGTTGTACAGTATTTTTTCTACGACTCACTAACAAAAATCGAAAAACCGAAAAATCAAAAAATCGAAAAAATGAAAAATCGAAAAACCGAAAAATCAAAAAATCGAAAAAATGAAAAATCGAAAAAACGAAAAATCGAAAAAGAAATTCCTTAACGAAAATTAACCTAACATCCCCCACTCCGACCGGCATAGCGGTACGGCGTTGAAAGCCGTGCATCGTCTAACGTCGTTTCAGTTCGGCAGATTTCGGCACGGTGTTTGTGTGCGTGCGATTAGACGTATGCGTATAGACTAGCTGCTAACTGCTCATAACTGATTCTATCTCTATTAGACACGATTTCTGAAAAATTTAATTTGAAAATGAATAATGATCCACAAGAATCCACAACAAAATATGGGACCACCATTGATGCGGTTTCCAGATATTTAGAGGATATCAACTCTCAAACGTATGTTTCTTATTTCAGTTACCATAAACCTATAGTTTCATTAATAAAAATTCCTGAATAACCTACATGTATTGTAAGATAATAAAAATATTGTAAACAATATTAACTTCTCATTTATTCAATAAAAGAAAAAAAATTGTTTTCTTATCGGTCACCACGCTCATAAAGTGTAACTTGAATTAATATCAAAGAAAAAAACTTGAATTAATATCAAAGAAAAAATACTGCATAAATAAAATAAATAACTATAATTGCATAAGTTGATAAAAAATGCCATGCAATAGCTTTACCGCGGCAGTCCCCGAGTGCCACACGTATTTTTTTTTAAATTTTATATTCTACCAGCGACGCACCGCAGAAAAGTTCAGGGCAAGAAAAGGCGGCACGACTCCTGAAAAAATATCACTCTGTTGATTTTCACAAACATTTGGTCCTACAGCGCAACCTAGATTTCAAATTTAAGATAATTATATCAAAAACAGCAGCAGCTATAAAGAAAAAATAAAAAAAAAACAAGTTCTTGAAATTTCAACACCCTGTAGATCGGTAACGAATCGTTTGTGGACCTATATTTAGCCTATTTTTAGTCATAAAATTAGCCCTATCCCATGGTGTTTAGGAACACCCCCCTATACGCCAAACTTTTACTTTTGGATAAAAACAATTTTAAGTATCGAAAATTATATACAGGGTGAGCGAAACTCGATGTCTCAGCTCCATTATGGGACAAGGGAAAAAGATAGGAAAAAGTTAAAAAGAGGTTCTTAAATGGGATAGAGTTAGGTCCGTTTTAAGCCCAATTTGCATATTTGTCCATATTTGGAAACTGAGGTAATGACGTCATCGATTTTTATTTTTCGGAAACATACCTATATTTTAACAAATTTAAAAAGAGCTAATTTTTCTGAACAAATTTTATGAAGAAAAAAATTTGATATCTCCTTCACTTTAAAAATTATAAGCAAATTTGTAAAAAAAATATAATCAAAAATTCAGATTAGTCACAATTTAAACAAGTCGCCTTTGGAAACAAATAGCAAAGACGTATCTGTCAAATTAAATTAATGATTGACAAATATTGTTATGTTGTTATTTGGCTTTGAAAAATGTTCACACACAATGAAAAAGTCGACATGTTATTAGTTTATGGGGAATCTCAAAAGAACCCTAGAAGAGCAGTTCAGTTATACGCCCAGAGGTACCCCGAACGTGTTATTCCAAGCTTAAAAATATTTGCAAAGATTGGAACGCAATTTACGTTCAAATAACAAGGCATTTTCTTCTCGAATGGGAAAAAAATTGCTAAAAGAGTCAACTCTGATAATACTGTTGCCACTGTTTTGCAGTATTTTGAAACCCATCCAAGAAATTCGATTCGGCAAGACTGTCGTGAGTTGAATTTAAAATATAGTTCGGTACGAAAAATTTTGAAGAAAAATGGTTACCACGATTATAGACTTCACAACTTGAATTATATTGCCACAGTGATGGAAACGTTAGAGTATGAAAATCGATTTTTTCAGCATGTTTTATGGACGGACGAAAGCCGTTTTGTTAGTAATGGTAAGCCCAATAAAAAAAATGAACATTATTGGGCTACTGAGAATCCACATTTTGTCAATCCGATTGAAAACCAAGGGCATTTCGGAATTAACGTTTGGTGTGGTATTATTAATGGGCATTTGATTGGTCCATATTTTTACGAAAGAATTTTATGTAGTGAGCGATACTTGCAATTTCTTCAAGAACAATTGCCTGTGCTTCTCGAAAATTTGCCATTACAGCTTCGAGCAAATATGTGTTTCCAGCATGATGGAGCTCCACCGCATAAAGCAAGAATTGTCCAACGATAATTGAATGAAACTTATGGAGAACATTGGATAGGTATAAATGGACCGATACAGTGGGCGCCTAAATCACCGTACTTGACCCCACTAGATTTCTTTTTGTGGGGAATTTTGAAAAATAAAGTTTACAGAACACCATCAGTTAACATGGAATATTTAAAAGACAAAATCAGAATTGCTTGCAATGCATTATCTAGAGAAATGTTACGTAAGGCTTCGGTAAGAGAAGTAAGACGGAGATTGGATAAGTGTTTAGAAGTAGGAGGTGGTCACATTGAAAATTTGTTTTAGTGATTGACTATGCATACAAGCTTTGTTTCTCTCTCTTGTAAGTAATATATTATTTGTTTCTTTTTTACAAATTTGCTTATAATTTTTATGAAGGAGATATCAAATTTTTTTCTTTAAAAAATTTGTTCAGAAAAATTAGCTCCTTTTAAATTTGTAAAAATATAGGTATGTTTCCGAAAAAAAAAAAATCGATGACGTCATTACCTCAGTTTCCAAATATGGACAAATATGCAAATTGGGCTTAAAACGGACCTTACTCTATCCCATTTAAGAACCTCTTTTCAACTTTTTCCTATCTTTTTCCCTTGTCCCATAATGAAGCTGAGACATCGAGTTTCGCTCACCCTGTACATTACGAACTGTACAAATAATTTACAATCAATTAGTAATAATTACTTTTTGTATCGATAAAACCATTTCTGTTGTAAGATATGTCGTTTTATAGATTGATGCGTTTTATCGATTTGGGGCGTAAACTTGATTGATGTACCAATAACTTTTTTTAGTAGGTCAACTAATTTATAACTCACCTGTAACAAGTGTGTAGGGTATTTTCCGATGCAGATTTGTATTTAATGTTATATTTGGGACCTACGGTATGGATAATGTATCGTGCTGGCAGTGCGTGGCCTTGAGTTACTCGAATTTCGCCCGTCCGACATTCTAAAAACACATTAGAAAAATATATTAAAAAAATTCACAAGTTACGAAAATATACTATGTACTCCGCGAAGTCCTATGGCTCCGCAAAGCCTTTGTGGGGGCTCCCCGAAGAAAATAAAAGTCATAAAAAAAAAGAAGCAAAAGGGAGTGACCTGGCTTGAAGACGGGAGCAACGTGAAACTGCAAGAATTGTTGGTGCTAGTCTCTGTGGTGTGCAAAGAGTGTACCAGCGCTTTCTGGAGACTGGCCTGATCACTAGAAGACCAGGGTCTGGGCGAAAAAGAGTTACCACTCAACGAGATGACCGTTTTTTGGTGTCCACAAGTTTGCGGAATAGGACAGCTACTGCGGTTTCACTGCGAAATCAGTTGGAAGAAGTGAGAAATGTCAACGTTAGTGAATGGACCATTAGAAGAAGACTTCATGTTGCTGGACTGTCATGCAGAAGAATGGCTACAGGTCCCCCGTTGCAACGCCAGCATCGGACTGCAAGATTGACATTTGTCAGAGATCACGTTCGTTGGAATGATGATGACTGGAGCTGGGTATTGTTCTCAGATGAGTCGCGTTTTTGCCTCACTGGGTCAGATGGACGTCGACGACCTGGGGAAAGATATGCTGAAGTTTGCATTGACGAGCGTCTTCCATTTGGCGGTGGGTCAGTTATGGTTTGGGCGGGAATCACTGCACAAGCTCGTAAAGAGCTGGTCTTCATAGAAAATGGCTGCCTAACCTCTCACAGGTACATTACAGAGGTGTCACATAAAAAATGGAGAGGCATAGTGAGAATTGATGGGGAATTGCAGGAATTGACAGGGAGTTGCAAGAATTCCCCAAAAAGGGGAATTGCGAGAATAGACGAGGAGTTCCTAAAAAATTGTAGAGGAATTGCCGAAGAATTGTGGGAATTGGACAGTAAAATAGAATTAGGTGTACAGAGGGAAAAAGTTTTCAGAAATAAACTAAACAAAAAATAATTTATATTTTTGTCCTGGAACATCTTTTACTTTACCCCCTATAACCTAAATATGTATACGCGTCTGTCGCGAGATAATGCAGCCAGATCTAAACTGGTATTGCTTTTAAAATATTTGTGTTATAGTTTATATTACAATTTTAATGTTTTTAATTTTAATGCGTTATTTAAAAAATAATTTAAGATATTAAATAAATGGAATAATAAACTGAATGTTTCAGCTCATAGACAAGTTCTTCGTATAGAACTTTTTGAGCACAGGCTTCGTTTATTTGCCATTGTATTATTTATTTTAAACTTGTATATGGTAAACTTCTATTGTATACTACCATTGGTAAATAAATTATTATTATAAAAAAAAATACTTGCTGATAAAGTAAAATATGTAGAAAAACTACTGTTTAATATACTTAACTATATTTTTGTAATAATATATCTAATTTTTATTTCTTACCTTTAATGTCTAAATTGATTTCTTCTTTTAATTCCGAACCAGCTCTTAGAAATATTCTGTCACTAACAGGATTACTTTCCGTCATCGATTCGTTTGTAGAATTGACGATTGCATCTACTTGTAACGAAGAAATATCACCTGCCCTATAATATTACATAAATAATAATATTCAAAAACAAGCAGTAAAAGTGAGGTTTAAATTAAAATTATAAACAAACAAAAGTTTCAACAAAGGAAGAGTCACGGATTACATGGAGTTATGCCAGTTATGGCCTGCAATAAATCTTCAATATATTTTAATATTTTAATGTTACTGTTAGTTGAGTGAAAATTGCAAAATATGATAGAAGATACAGCCGCTCGAAGAACGTATGTCCGTCACAGCACCAAAGAAAATTTTTGATCATAACTCGAAACGTATTTGACTGTTTTTAACAATCTTATTCCCATTTGCTATGTAAGTTAATATTCTAAAAAGCTATGTATTTATATTATTACACAGGGTGTTACATTTAATCCAGTTTAAAGACTTAAGTGGAAATGATCATCGAAAATATAACAGTGCAAACGAAATGCAATACTTTATCGTTAAAAACATAATAACAGTAAACATTTTAATTTGTTAAACATTAATAGTATTTACAAAAGTCAAAAGCAAAGAATGCTTGGTAAATTATGTCTTAAGTAGTAATATAGAGTGAATCTAAAGTTGATAATTTTCTAACTGTATATATAGAGGGTGTTTCTAAATACATGCGACAAAATTCAGGAACTGATTGCTCGTATGAAATTAAGATGGGTCTTTCCTATAACAAAATTTCCTCAGCCCACCCCTTTTCGAGATATCACCCTTAAAAGGTGGTGACTAAAATTAAGTTTTTATTTTTTTTCTAAAATTTCAGTAAAGCTAGAAACTTGAAATTCTGTAATCGCAAAGGACTAACCACGAGTATTTTTTCAATATTTCTGTTACATTATAGGGGGTGAAATTAGCAACACTTACTTTATTTCATATCAAAACTTTTTTTCGAAATGAACTTTTATGAAATCTTTGTTTTATTTAATTTTTTTTTATTCTTGAATTTTTTTCCCAAAACCAATAGCTTCAGAGAAAACAATTAACACCCTAATTTATCATTTTTTTTTTAATTGAGTGGAAAACAGTTTTTTTTTTCTATGAAGGTATTGGTTTTGGAATTTTTTTTTTAAATAAAACAAGTATTTCAAGTTACAAAATTATTTCATAAAATTTCATCTCGAAAAAAAGTTTTGATATGAAATAAAGTAAGGGTTGCTAATTTCACCCCCCTATAATGTAACAGGAATATTGAAAAAATAACCGTGGTTAGTCCTTTGCAAGTGCACGAAAATTACAGAATTTCAAGTTTCTAGCTTTACTGAAATTTTAGAAAAAAAAAATAGAAGCTCAATTTTAGTCACCACCTCTTAAGAGTGACATCTCGGAAAGGGATGGGCTAAGGAAATTTTGTTATAGGAAACACCCAACTTAATTTCATACGAGCAATCACCTCCTGAAATTTGTCCCATGAATTTTGAAAGACCCTGTATATAATAAAATAAACATCATTTTCGAATGACTTCTTCCTAAAAACTCTAAAATAATTTTAAAAAATATAGAGAATTAAAAAATTTAAATGCGGACTAGGACTTGTGTATAAAAAATTAAGCTAAATAAAAAATACGCTCTTGTTCTACTTTTTTTCGGTTTTTCTTATAATAATAATATTAATAATAATAGCGTTTATTGTCCAACAGTACAAACCATTTACAGAGCAAGTAGGTACATAAAATAATATAAATGTATAATTGAAAATTAAAAGTATGTACAAAAAATAATATAAATGTATAATTGAAAATTAAAAGTAGGTACAAAAAAAATATAAATGTATAATTGAAAATTAAAAGTAGGTACAAAAAATAAATGTAAAAAATTTAAAAAAGTGGCAAGTTAAAACAAAGAAATAATGTTACTCAAAACTAAAGATGTGCACGAGCTTTGTTCTTTAATTATTCACATACACTACAAGAAAAAGTATCACAAAATTCCGATATTTTATTAGCGTTACTGCACATACAATTTATGGGTAATTTAGATATTAAATTCGTTTGAGCTCTTTTATATTGAAATGTATTATTATGTCTGGAAGTTATCTTAGGAATATGAATATCTAAGATAATAAATCCGAACTTTCAACTTTAGTAAGTATAAAACAGCCTTGCTTCTTACATTTTTCTACGCTATTAAAATTAAATTGCTTTCACAGATTATTGTAGTCATAACCTCTAATCGGATGGGTTCCATCAATTTTAAAAATTAAAAATTTTAGGAACCTCCTCTAAAACCTTCTCAATGGAAAGTATGAACTGAAAATAAATGGGATTTCAAATTAATGATCCATATTCCAATTTTGATCTGACTAAGCTAAAGATGTAAGTGCCGATATGTTTCTGAAATGTTTATAATTTATGGAAATAAAGCCATATGCACGGTATGCTGAATTAATTATTTGATTTATATGCATACTAAAAGTTAGTTGACAATCAAAATGAACTCCCAGATTCCTAATATTTTCAGAGCGTTCTAGTGTTATGATATTGATTGAACAAGGAGAGTATAAAGTAGCCATATTGTGAGAAAATTATATGACTTTACATTTATTGATATTCCGAAAAAGAAGATTTTAAGACACCAATTTTGTAAATAATTTAGCTGCTCTTGTAATACTGCACAATCATCTAGTGTGGATATAGAAATATACAATTTTAAGTCGTCAGCAAACATTAAACTATTAATATCGAATGAATTACACAAATCGTTGAGAAATAATAAAAATAACAAGGGACCTAAATTGGAACCCTAAGGACCCCACTGGTTGCAGCGTAAATATTCGAGGAGCATCCATCTAGATGAACATATTGCTTTCTTTGATGCAAATATGATTTAAAGAAGGAAAGGTATATGTCGTTGAAGCCAAGGCAAGAAAGCTATATATTTTGAAAAAATCTGTACTTATCTATCGCATCTACCTGACCTCTTCTATCTAACGATTCACATACGTATTGACTAAATACTGCTAAGTTACTTATTGTGGATCTCGAGTTCATGAATCCAAGCTGATAGCTTCTATAAAATTGGCTCCAAGATCTTTGCTGCATCATTGAGAATCGATATGAGTCTATAGTTATTGATGACATTACGATCTTGCGACTTGTGCATGGGACAAACTTTGGCTACTTTCCAAAGGTCTGGAAAAGTTCAGGTTTTCAAAATTAAGTTTTTATAAAGAATATACTAAAATTCTTCAAAATAAATGATGGAATTTTATCAGGACCGGAGGTGAACTTGTTCTTTAACTTGGAAGCAGCATCTAAAATCTCTTTTTCAGATATTGGCTCGTAGCTAATATAAATCAAATATGCATATGCAAATAAGCATATATGCCTGTCTTGTGTGATCCCTTCCATGAAAAAAATACAATAATAAATTGTTTTAAAAGTACAAAAAAAAAAACGACTCAGTAATAGGAGTAATAGAAAACTAAAGCAAGACAGGTCCAAAAAGTGAGATAGGTTTAAAACTTTCTCCTGTAGTATAGTTAAACAGAAGTTAACGCTAAAAAAAATACTTGAAAAGGCACCAGAAATAATGTACGTTATTTGCAGTTTTATTTAAAATATTTCAAACATATCTGGGGAAGTTTGGATCAATTCCTTGATTTCAGTTTTAAATTTAGTTAATTTAGTTATTTGTTTCGTTGATAAAGGGAGAAGATTAAACAATTTGGGGCCAAAATAAAAGAAAGATCTTTGTGTTACCGTTTTTTGAAATAGGTCTACATTCAAATTTAAATTTGTAGTTGCTCTGGTTTTTGATGAAACCTTGTGTAGTTTATCCTGATCTCTGTATACCCTTTGAAGACACTGATATGCATATAATTGTCTTACAGTAAAAATGTTTAATTCTTGATATAGTAGTTGAGTTGAATATAGTCTATTCTTTTTAAATAAAGTCACAGTTATTGAATTAAAATTTAGATTTGTGTTATCCGGATCCGACAAAGAGTAAACACTTTCGAAGAAATTTCCGAAAGCATTGGCGATTATCTGGGGAGTATTGTAAGACACCACAGTACATTTTCCCAGGAATCCTTGTAGTTTTTTTTTTTTTTTTTTTTTTTTTTTGATTAACAAATGACCAACAAAATTTTGGTTTATTTACTAAGCAAGCTTGAACATTTTCCAGATAATATGCTGGTAATAAGCTGTATTGTTCGTTTTTTTAAATTTCTTATAAATTTTTGCTTTATTCTTGATAAGATTAATAATTTATCCTGAGTACCATACCGGATATTTATGCTTGAAGTTTTTGTATAGTGGAACGTAAGAATCTAGTATTTCGTAGAATTTATTATAGAAACTTTCAACTGCTAGACTACAATCACTAAAATTATCCAAAAAACGCCAATCGATATTTTGAATCACGGTTCATTAGGTACCGGTTACTGTAATTCAGTCGCAAGTGATTTCAATAGCGTGGTTATCTGAAGTAGTAAATTTTAATTTTTCAGTATGTTAAATTGACAAGAATCAACTTATGGATATGTTACTTATTTATGGCCAATGTCTTTAAAGTGCAGCTGTTGCATCGGTGTTGTACAATGAACGTGATGAAATCCTTGTCCCATAACTTTTATTAATATGTCTCAACGGGCTAGAAATACTGGTGACTTAAGGTAACAACGTGGATAAAATGTAGGAAGACCGGGAAAACATAAAGTGCGTTTGTGTTAAAGCGAATGGTGACACCTCTGAAAACATTATTTAAGTTAGACTGCATGGGATACATTTTGAAATAAATTAATGTAAGAAAAAGTTGTTTATTTTAATGACTTCTATTCACGGTTAAAAAAGTATCAACTTAGGATTCATGCTGTATACAGAGAACAAATTTGAACAGTTAGATTTTTACTATGCAGCAAGGCTCTGGCAGAAGGAGAATGATCGCTTCGTCATTAATTAAAATTATTAGAAAAAATGCAGCTCACAGAAGAAATTATATAATGAGATGAATCAAAAAACAAAAGTTTGGAATACATTTGAGATTACAGCAAACAGTACGTAATCAAAATTAGCAGCCTCAATTTTGCTACAAGGTGTTTTGAAGTTGCGACAAAAAACAAAATTTTGATTTACCCCTGTATAATATTGCCAAAATGAAAAATGTTACGTATTACAACAATTTAAAAAAAAATCACAATAAATGTATCTACAAATTGGTAGAAAATTCATAAAAAATGGGATAAAGCATGAAAAATTATAAAACATCAAACTTAGTCAAAATTTTAGGATGGCGGAATTTTGTGCCTGGGTGTATATATGCAGTGTCAATAACCTCTACTTTTGCACCCCCATTTACCCACTCTATTTTTGAAATAACATTTCGTGAAAAATTTAACTATACAGCATTAAATAAATTGAATAGGTACTTACCATAAGATAATTCTGTGGTTGATATCAAGGTCGCATGAGAAGGGGTAGGGGGAGTGTTTGGTTTCGCATACGGTACTATAATCTGTGATGTATTGGGAAGGTATAGTGTCGCCCCATCTAGTGAGCGATTGTGGCAGTACTATGTCGGGAGCTACCCCTAAGGGTTCTTGATTCATTTTTAACCTCATTAAGAATATCTGAAACAAAAAATACAAATGTTAACACCAAGCGTATGAATAAAACAATGTGTTCATGATCATATTTACTTCTGAAGATTTACAAATTACTACATAATAATAAAAAAGATAGTATGTACATGAAATTAGATAAAAAAAAATTCTCCTCTGGCTTTATTAAAATAATAAATTTTAACAGTATTTTTTTATTGTTATTATTAAAAACAGTCAAATATTAAAAGCGATTTGATCTGTTTGAGAGACAATACTTCTTAGCTGCTTTTGCTGTAGTGGTATTCTGCAACTATGCGAAAAGGGAGTGTGAGTACTATCTCAAGATTTGGCCTCGGTGCGCATGTTACTCAACTAAAATTATAAGGAATCATGTCAACGGCGAGAGTAGTGTTGCAAGACGCACGATAATTATCGTATTTGTACGATATACTGAAAAAAGTTGAAGATTCCCAATTTTTCGGAATTTTTGTTTTCCAACTTACGAGCTAGACTTAATTTCTGTTGCATACACATGTTTTTCTAATATATTATTACATACGTAAAATTAAAGATATTTTTAATTACAGTGTGATTTACAAAAGTATGACGATAGTTTATTGCAAAACTAATTGTACTGCGACGACAAGGAAACATATTTTCAAAACGTACTACTCAAAATCATATGTTGTCGATCAAATATTGCATAATACACATTTCTAATACAGGTGTTTTATAGTGAGAACTACAAAATAAAATTATTCTTTTTAAGGATTACTTCAAAACTCTGTTCTTATGAATAGATTTATGGGAAAAGTAATATCATTAAAATATGTGTAGGTATCTCAGGCATCAAAATATGCAAGGCGGCTTATTTGTTAGAAGATATTCTATTTTAATAAAATGTAACCATTTTCTCGGTATATAATAATTTAAGAGTTATGAATTTTAAATTCGATATTATGTCCAGTTATCTAGATACAGGGCGTTAAAGTGGAGACTTGCTGCTTTTAGTTTATTTTTTTCTTCAAACTGAAAAGCTAGATTGTCTATGTAGAATATATAAGTTTAATATAAGTTTTGTTGAGATGTCCATTACAAGGGACAGTTTAAAACAGTTGCGGCTTGTGAACGAAATATTGGAGGTTCACAATTACAGAGAATACAGATCTCAGTACAGATGTAGGTAAAAAACTTTCAGTGTTTTAGAAAGGTATAGGTATAGAAAGGAATAATATACAGAAGACTGTAAAAGTTTTTTACCTATATCTATACTGAGATCCATATTCTGTCATTGTAAACCCCCAATATTTTGGAGAGAAGCCGCCACTGGTTTAAAATAAATGTTACAGGGTGATTCACGAATAAATCACAATAACTATAGTTGCGCCACAGATAAATTATTTAATTAAGTTAATATATTTTTATACAGGGTGAACCAACCAGCCAACCACCCAAAAATAATTATGTTTTGAAATTATTAAAAAGACGATCTTGCATTTCTTTAGTGACCTTTGAGTAAGTTAATAACATTACAATAGGTGATTCAACCATAAGATTTTAAAATATACAGGGCAATGTAACTGTATAATATTTTATTGCTAAAATACCATATTATGTAGTATTTTTTAAATATGCTTCCATGATGTCACAGTGAAAATTGTGAATCACGCTGTAATTAAAACATTTTTTAATTGTACGTATGAGCTAATATATTACTAAAACATTTAGTAAACGTGTGTATAGAACATAAATTCAATCTAGTTCGTAAGTTTGAAAATAAAAATTTTGAAAACTAGCCAATTTTCAACTTTAACACCCTGTATATCGAAAACTAGTTATAGGATTGAATTGAGCCTAGTGACACTTTTGGTTACTAGGTTGAGTACAATAACATACCACAGTTTCAGAAAATTTGACCGGTCGCCACTTTATATAAGGAAATAAGTGTGGGGTCCGTTGGATAATGGATGTGTAAGTTTTAAACCTACATATGAATGATTGTGTTTGCTGGCCAATCAAACCAATCGATAGTTCTTATAATTTGTTGCTTCTATAAACTTAAACCTATGCTTTGAAATGAGATTGTCAATGAAAATACCATTAGCATTATTATTGTGCACCTTAATTTGTCTACCGTACTGACAAGTTTTAAATAAGTTAGTTGATCCGTAGAAGATTGTGTGTGAAATACATACTGATTTTTACTAGTTTAGATCCAAAGGCTTTTATGACATGACATTATAACAGTAATTCCTTCACTGCAGCGTTGTCTGGATAAATCTATTCAGTTTAATATGAAGGTCAGTGGTCAATGCTTTAAGCAACTCAATATTTAGAAGTAAAAACGGTAAAAACGTATCCAATAATAATATATAAATAGTAAAGCTTCGTAGAACTAAAATAGAAGGTTTGCATGTTGTGCAGTTATCACTGCTCATCAAATATTTGATTTTGTCTTTACAATGTAATATACCTAAGTGATATGGGATCTTTCTACACCCCTACAGAAAGGCCTTGTTACTGTTTCCTTGTGCCACATTTGGAACATCACTGTTAAGTAGAACCCAACAGTGAATGGTCGAGTGGGGAATCCTACCAAGGCATCAGAATTAATTTTAAATAATTAAATTAAATAAAAAAATCCCAGCCAACGGTGGGATTCGAACCTGGGACCCTTGGATCGACAGGCAAAGACTCTACCACTGAGCCACCCACCCCCTGATATGGGATCGATAAGAACAAAAAATTTCTTTTAAATTACTTATAGACAACATTAAACAAATATAGCACAAAACCCAATTATTCTTTAGTGATTTTCGTACCAAATTGTATTTGAGCGTACTAACGTACTAAAAACTTTGAAAAGGGAGTAGATTTAGTATAAACGTATTAAGTACCTGCAACGATGGTCTAGTGCTTTCGATATATATGAGAAGGGGTCACACCACAACGCACCTTTCCTCTAGAGACCCCACGCCAATGTTAGACTTTTATACCCAATTAGCGCCACCTTGTGTTTGAAGTAGGAACTAAAATGACAACTGACAAATGGCGGTAAATTCAAATTGTAATTTTTAGTAGTACTTTGGATTCATTGGTTAATTATTAACCATAATAATGGACGAAGGTTTCACAATTTCAACAGAAGCCTCATCTATTGTTTGGAGTCCGTAAAATAAGAAATGTCAGTTGTCGGCTTCGACCTTGGGCATTCATGTGGAATCTCTATGTGCTTTATGGGTGACACTATGTGAATTCTTTAATATTGCTTATTGCAAATTCTATTAATTAAGAACCATACAAATATTGTTATGCATTACGTACCTATGTACAATTCTAAAATTGTATAACAGTTAATCAATTTATATTCTTTTTTTAAAGGCGACAGTTATTTTGATTGTATTGAATGTATTTTAAATTAAATAATCATGAAATTTTGCATGTATTGAAAAGATATCAACGTTTAATAGCAGCAAAACAGAAATACTTATGTCATGAAATAAATTAAGCCCTGCTTTTTATTTCCACAGTGCGTGCTCGCCTGATAACGGCCATTAATTTTATTTTACTGCCAATTTATTTTATAGCAAAAATTACAAAAATCGCTTTTTAAGTTATCTCAAACTACATGAAAGGGTTATTTTCGTAAATAATTGCATTGCATTAAATATATTGAATTAACTACAATGTGAGCCAATGAAACGTATTCCTATTAATTTTTATAAATTCCTTGCATATCTCTCTTTGATAAGAATTATATTTTATCTTCCAAACAAGTGAACGAAATTGTTCGAAAAAAAATTAATTAAATTTTAATTAAAAGTACACTACTTCATACTTCATTGCCAACGAAAACACTGAAAAAAATAAAATTTTGTATTATTCCTCAAATTTAATGGAGAAATCATGTAAGTGACCAAACTTATAGAGAATAACGTTACAAACAAGTCTTCTACAGGGTGATTAAAAATTGAGTGCAAAGATTTTAAGGGCGTATTAACCAGCCAAAAATAAGAATTTTTTTTTCATATAAGCGTATGTCCTAACTTGCTTCGTTTTCTAGATACAGGGTGCCAAAGTTTTTTAAAAAATCGTGTTTTTTAACAATAATTAATTAAATTAAATCACACTTTGAGATGCCACTGGAAAAAATAATGAATGAAATTTCATAACACAAATAAAAATTAAGACAGACCTGTTTGGCGACAATCTCCATCATTTAGGAATTATTTTTTTACTTGTTTTAATAGAACTAGGCAAAGACTTTGATTTTTTTTTCTTGGAAACAAAGCTAGATACGAGTAAAGCTCAAGAGGAAAGAAAGTTACATTATTGACCGCTTAATCTAAAAAAATTAATTGTCAAAAAAGCAGTACCGTACCATAATTTTACCTATAAGTATCAAGTAGGTAGCCCCCTGAGACGCCACTGGAATTAATAAATTTATTTTATACTCACCAAAGGAAGTTCCTTATGACGACAAATAAGCCTACCAAATTTTATTTAAATCGCCTAAAAGGTTTTTGAGTAATTGATAAAAAACCAATTTTGACTCCCTGTATTTAGAAAACGAAGCAAGTTAGCACATATGGTTATATGAAATTTTTTTCTTATTTTTGGCTGGTAAGTACACCCTTAAAATCTTTGCACTCAATTTTGAATCACCCTGTATAATCATAAATAACAGAAATATACCTCAAAGTATAAAAATGACTATAAAGTATATGGTTATGATTCACACTCGAAACCAAAAATGGAAGAAGATATGATGGAAGAACTTATATCAAAAATATGTAAGAAACTTATGACTAAGATTGAAGAACACTTCGATGAAAAGTTTGAAAGATTTGAAACAAAGTTAACTAAAATATGTGACAAAAACTGAAAAAAATGGAAACTTCGATTCAAGCTAACGAAAAAGTTATAAATACCATTGAATACAAGTTAGATGATATGCAGCAAACTATGAGAAACCACTGCCAACGATTAGATGGAATCCAAAAATCAGAAACTGTAATGGCGATTGT